GCGGGGGGGGTGAGGGCTCCGGCTGGGGGTGTGGGCTCTGGGATGGGGCCAGAAATGAGGCATTCAGGATACGGGAGGGGGCTCTGGACTGGGGGGGGGGGTGAGGGCTCTGGCTGGGAGTGCGGGCTCTGGGATGGGGCTGTGGATGAGGGGTTGGGGGATGCTGGAGCATGCTCCGGGCTGGGACTGAGGGGTTTGCAGGGTGGGAGGGGGATCAGGGCTGGGGCAGGGGGTTGGGGTGCAGGAGGGGCTCAGGGGTGCAGGCTTCAGGCGGCGCTTACCTCAAGCAGCTCCCAGAAGCAGCGTCATGTCCCCATTCTGGCTCCTACGCTGAGGCATGACCAGGTGGCTCTGCGTGCTGTTCCTGGCTAATGGGAGTTGTGGGGGTAGCACTTTGGGCTGGGGCAGTGTGCGGAGCCCCCTGGCTGCCCCCTACAGGTAGGAGATGGAGAGGGATATGCCACTGCTTCCAGGTGCCGCATGCTTCCTTGCTGGAGCTCAAGGGCTGGATTAAAATGTCTGGAGAGCCGGATGTGGCCCCTGGGCCGTAGTTTTCCCACCCCTGGTCTAAGCATAGGTCACTGAAGTTGTTACCATCCTTGTGCAACTCAGCATGGTGCTTTTATACAGTATAATACTTTCTCTAATTTACGCCTCTGAATTACCTATACATCAATAAAATGCCAACCAACATTGCTTTTAGGGCTGCAGACAGATTGTTCATGATCTAATATAAATAGCGTTGTCCTTACAGGATGAAGTTCACTCCAGGGCAGAGGCCTGCACAAGGGTTCCCACATTAAGGAGCTTCTGAATCCTCTGCATTGAGTGAATTTCACCCTGAAGGTTTCATTCATGAGATTTGACCATGGTTAATGGGGGTGAGAAGAGAGTGTCAGGAAAACAGATCTACCAAAGGGAATATTGAAGATAAAGCAACAAAGCTTCAGCTTTGGTCTACACTAGACATTTTATGTCAGTATAACTACTTCACTCGGGAATTTTCTCCTAACTCCTGGTGTAGACAGTGCTATGACCACGGGAGGTCTTCTCCCATCAATATAGCTACTGCCTCTTAGGGAGTCCTCCTGTCCATGTCCATAGTGTCTTCGCTGAAGCACTGGAGCAGCACAACTGCAGCGTTGTAAGTGTAGATCTGCCCTAACTCTTCTGTCCTTTCCCCAGCTAACTCAGAAACTGGTTTCATACGCTGGGCCAGGTCTTCAGCTAATGTAAGCCAGTGAAGCTCCATCGACTTCAATAGAACTATATCCATCTACAGCAGCTGAGGATTTG